GTATTCAGACGCCATTTACGTTAAACCTTCCTAAGGTGGCCATCTCACCCTATAGGATTTAAACGAACTCACGCATGTTCAAGATAACCCAGTTAAGGTCAAATGGCAAACAACTGCCGCTTGCAATAGCCACAGAATAGCAAAATGTTTTGATTGAAAACTGAGTTACGGAATGAGTGAGTCTGAGTGTGACCGAATGTATAAACGTAGCAAAAGCAGAGGTGAAATTGAGCTAGGTGGTGTTAGATCTAGAACAGACCAGAAGAATGTGTGCGCATGAAAATTGCAGGGCCAAGTTCTGTCAAATGAAACCACAGAATAGGAACACACCACCTTCTGGAGTTTACAAAGCCCTTTCTATCCATGTGGTCTTACGTATACTCCATAACTCATAATGTCTGACTTACATTTTTCCCAGCAATGTGTGCTGCAACACATTCCCGTGGTAGTTCTAACATGCTCGAACATAGAACAAATACGGGTCAAATCTTGCGCTAAAAGTACCGCTTTGAACAAAAACCAGAGTTTTTGAGTCATCATCTTGGAAGGATGTATTGAGTCAGCAAGAAGCATACCCGCGGCACTGAACTTAAGAGATCATGGGGACAGTTAAAGACGTTTGCGAGGCCGCAGTGTACTCCCTTCAATCAATTGCGTGATGGGAATTGATTTTCTCTTACAATTATTTTTATATCCGGTCTAGGTGTCCAGGACGGTCAGTGTATTGCTCAACTGGCAAGCCCCAAACAGACAAGCTTTCAGTTGATGTTTTCAGCGTTTCACTACCGTCACAACATTTGTGCTGCACAGTGAGGTGGTGAGGCAGCAGTTGTCATGACCGCGAGTGCTAATAATGATATTAGATACTTTAGACTGTTAAAGATTACCGTTACTGTTAAAGATTACAGAACACAAAAGCCCTACCGAACCTTAAAAGCCAACTAAAATCTTACTCTAGCTTAAAACCCTGCTAAAAGCGCTACCCTATGCAATGCCACCATTTGACTGGAACGGCGGCGTGAAGTAATCAGCGATGTTTCATTGTGCATATCATCATGTTACTTCTTCTTCATAATACTCCTTACAAGCACAGGATTGTTGCCTGAACTCAATTCTGTTCAAAGTCTATAATCAACTGTGCATATTGTAATTCATTGCCCTTGTTTTCTATTTCGGTTAATTTGCGGTCAATAAAACCTTGTCCCGCTTCCGCTCTGTTTCGAGTAGCTTTGTGCAACAAGTTCTGATGCTAACTCAATCAAAACTATGGTTTGCTATGTCTATTTAGGCTTCTCTAAAAAGCCCCTACAAAATACAATATCTGTGTACATTAGACTTGCGAAATAAGAAAAGCGTGAACTGAGAAAGACTATGACAAATATTCAAGCATAGAAGAAATAAGGTTCTTCAAACATTTGAACCAGTCAGAAATGACAGATTTCATACAACCGGCGAGAAAATGAAGCAGATTCTTGGTAAAATCATCCGGTTTCAAGTACATTGCTATCACACCTAAGAAAGCAGAGCAGCTCACCGGTTTGAACGTCGCCGAAACCGGTGTCGACAAAATGGAAGCAAGTGAAACATATCAAACTATGTGCTCCGTTATGATTGAATTTGAAAATTGTTTGGAGGAGGATGAATCGTGTCAATAGCTGCACTCTTGCACGATAGGCAATCGATGTTCAACTACGCCGGAGTTATCGGCGTTCCGTAGTAATCTGCGTGTTATCAATAGTAGGCAGAGGGGAGCAAGCAGTTCAAAGCTGGAAGGGGTCTGTCACAAGTGATAATACAGGGTCGGATACAATTTGTATACAGTGTAACTGGACTCGTTTTCATTGATTTGCAGACCATGATGCATATGATCCCAGCAATAGGCAGGTTTTGTATCAAGCTCAGTGCATTCATGATTTGCGCAAGTTTGATCACTCGTTGAGAGGAATCGTTAGGTTTTAGACATCCAGACCGATGGGTCGATTGCCTTCACCACCCACTCGGGTCATGGTATCACAAAGTTTGGCGAGAATATTTGCAAACCGATCCGTACCGGTATAGTCAATTTCGCCTCTCTCCCAAGCGTACATTCGTTCCGTTTCCATTCGTTCGTGCCGTGCGCATAGCTTGTTCCCAAAATCGGTTCTTCCTAAATGACCGGCAACGCCAGGCTGTGAAGAACATTGTTAGAGAATGGCAGTAGAAATAACAATATTTTAAATATTTCGAAGAAGTGGTGAACACCATAATCTAAATGAACACCGATACTGCATAAATCAATCAGGCGGATGATGCAAACACGTTCGTGTTCAGCAAAACAATCAACCATTCTGCGTAGATTAAAGGATTTTCGGACGTATCAATTTAGTTCTAAACGTGCCCATGAAGCTGTAATTGAGGGTGTCACTTCAGAGCGGAAGCACTGTATGCCATTAATCAAAGCCAGTAACGTGGTCGAATCTGTCGATAAATTGATGACAAATTGTCACCTTTGACCGAGAGTGTAAACGAATTACACCAACGCGTGCACATAAAACAGTGTGATCGGAAACGCGGTTTCTGACCGGGTTGCGCCAAATTTAATCTGCTGTCAACATGCGACCACGGTTAAAATCTATATAGATAACAACTTCACACAGAAGGACCATTGTCCGGTAAACAAAACCTAGTGCTACACACGAAAAATGGCTTAGCCAATACAGACTGAATAAGCTAATTCATCAGTCACGTCATAGTTGTAACTAAAATGTGGCTGGAATTTTCTGAAAATCGAACTGGTATATTGTACACTGTCCCAATCAGTCAGATCATATTGATCCAATGCAATCATCCTCTTTAAGCTTCACTGCTTCGTTTGTGTGCTTATATTATTTTAGCGACCCATTTGAGCATGCAGTCCAGAAAAGAAGGACAAACATGAGATGAGTAAGGTAGTAAAACAAGGTCATAGAATACTGTATAAACTATCTGCGTACGAAGAATAAACTGACACATGAGAACCGCTGGTCGCAACATTCTGTCATATCACATTGTGTCTCCATCCGTAGAAGCGACTAGATGTACCATTTTGGTTACCGAAATCAGCTTCGTTCTCATTGATCCAAACCACTATGGGTAGCAAATAAGCGTTCCATGCAGAAATTCAGCTCGTTATTTTTCATGGAGAATTCTACTGTTCCTAGTGAACCTTAAAAGATCAACGTTTGCCTCTGCTGAGAGTAAAGAAAATATAAAGTAAAGATCTCTAAGCGACTGATGGGAAAATGTTGGTTCTACGTAAAAATAAAACCAGCAGTAAAACCACATTCAAGCAAGCAACCATCTCATAATTCTATGGGTTCAAATTACGCAATCACAGAAGTTGCTGGCGATCATTAATGCAAATAAGCCAATCCGATGGTGCGCCATGGTAGTGAGAGGTCATTCTGGTTGTGGAAAGTAATTCCTTGCTTATTTTATGATTCTCAAATCACTGTATCGTTCTAAAGTTAACAAAAAGAAAGACATTTAGCAACGATAGTTCATCATCATCTCCAAAATTTTGTTTTGTTCGGCGTAGTTTTCCTTACTTTTCTCTGGGTGAAATTGGTTATTAAACTAGCAAAAGTAAGTTGCAACGATCAAAAATTTGCTTTTAGCAGCAACGGCTTCAAGGGGGCACAAAACTGATTCATTTTCAATTCCGTCTATTAGTTCTTCACACTCTTATTACTTAGCCATACTATTTTTTAAATTAACCATAATATTGATATCCAGCAGAAAATATCGTTCTCTCCAGTGCAGTTCATTGCACTATGGTCTCTATATTTGATGTTGGGAAAATCAATTTATCTCATACAATTAGCTCCATAAGTCTATTTTGGCATACTTTTACATGCTTGTATTGAATCCTTACATACAGTAAATGACTGTCATGGATAGAACAAAGAATAATGATGATGATGATCATGAATAGATGAAATACATTTGTCAATTCTGAGTAGTTTTAGACTTGATCGAAGTAACCTAGGCCACATTTTTCTCTCTATCAAATTCCGTAAAGAAACCATTATTTATATCATTTTCAATTTAACACTGGCCCTTATGTCAGTCAAACGCACCGTATCCTGGCACTGTCCCTCCTTTGAGTTGTGTCGGGAAAGTATATCTCTATTTATTTCGATTTCTGTTTGCAAGCATAAAATCTTGTGTTCTCATTGTTCTTCACCAAACTCTACTGGAGTGGTGATTTGTCAGGGTTGTTCTCTCCTTCCTTCTGTATTTAACGTTATGATAGATAAATTAGTATAAATGACTCTGTCTTCCTATGCAAATAAACGTGTAACATCGCCCCCCCCACAGAATTATCGATGCTCTCGAAAGTCGCAAGCTGTTTGATCTGGATAACACAGACAACATGGGAAATGAAGTCGAGATTCGGGTAATATACAAGTTTCTCTGATTGGTTTGAATATTAGTTTGGCTGCCCTGGATATGCGCTGCTTACCTTCAGAGTGTAAAATTTGGGGTTAAATTAGCTCCTAACTCTACTTTATTACACGCTTTGCCGAAACCAAAATTGTTTGTCCTCACTGACTTCAGTCATAAGAGAAGAATCATAGATCTAGAGTGAATGAAAATTGAATCACGATTCGTCTAGGATGCGTGACTTTTCTTGACGGCATTTAACGCGAGACAAAATCTTTGTTTATATCAATTCATAGCTCCATTTTGCAATGCCTGGTGTTCTGTCAATGCCGTGGAATGAAAAAAATTTGAGGTAGGTAGATAAGCTTAAGTTATCAGCTACATCTCTTCCGGGGATGAATTTCTGATCAACTATTGAAACGCACACAATTATATGGGCGTTTGCCAACTTAAAAGACCTTTGGCGCCGCGGTATCCAGGTTGTCTGTGATGGTCAACTGTGTGCTATAAAAGCCCGATTATATAGTTTACAAATATGGACATTCCGATCAGAAGATAAATGTTGATGAATGACTTGCAAGAAGCACGATCTATGTATGCCACGTTGCCCGAGTCTAATTGGATAACCGATGAAAAGATACCTAGGATAGTTGGCTAATATTAATTCACCACCATGGCTCATTCACCAAAGCATATGAATAAAGTCCTCTAATCTTGATGGCTGTGTCAAGTGTCACCAGATAGCCTTTTCTGGTGTTTTCCGTTTTTCAAGGCAGGTAGCTGCTGAAATGATATCAAATGTGGTGAGGCTGCAATCTGTCGCTAAGTTATGAACACATCAATCACTAGACGTAGTTGCTGTGGTTACGATGGGCTCCACCGTTGGAGATCTCAGAAACAGCCTAGTCAATAGTTACGGACAATAGGTGGTGGAATTATTGCGTAATTAAAGCAATAACAAAGTAACAATAAACAAAGCCAGCTAATGGAAATCCAAGGATAATACTGTACAAAATGCAACTGAAATTTCTACGCAAAAATGTTACAAAGTAAAAACCGCTAAGCTGACTGATGAATTGACTAACCTCCATCAAGTTAGATTTTGTTTGATATTCAAAAGCCGTATAAATCTTGAGAAAGAGTTGATATGCGATGAAGAACAGCACTGTAAATGTAATGAACCGTTTTGACCAGCCACTTTCTACTAAACTAACTTGTAAGGCATGGGTATGTTTTCAGTGAAATGTGCTATCTGCAGTGTGCATTTCTGATTCGAATTTGTGCACAACAAATCAAGTAAATGTCAGCAGAGAAAGGCCCCAAATTAGGTTATTTCTCACTATACTTAAAGTAAATTCCATAAACGAACTCAAAAATTATTCAGGGTCTCTAACTGTGCACTTTATCGGGAAGAAAAAAACACGTGAATGTATCATGGGTTCAAGATACAAAGAACGTGTCAACAGAGATTCCGTAAGTTGGAAAGTTTGGATAACTTTGGGTGATACAGCGCATGGAGTAACCGCTTTGTTCACCGGTTCGTCATTTCTCCAGACATCATGGCATATAATGTGCATTCCATCACTGAAGGGAAGTTAATTCTATTTACAATCTAAAATAAATATTTGTTAAATATGATTGCGTGACTGTAATGATAAAAATTGTAGGAAAGGTAGTGTATCAAACCAAACCTTTTTTAAATCGAATATCTTTTTTCTCCTAACGATTGCGTACATTCATCATTATTCACTTTCAAAACTAATACGGAGAATGACACTTTCATGCTCATTAGAGGTGGCCCGAGTTTGATGCCCCTGTATAAACCGTTAAGTTACTAATAAAATTATCATGATGCAATTAAAATAACATTGATTGGTGAAGATTTGTGGCAAACTAGCAATGGCCGGTGTATTTGGATCCTTAATATCCATGAGTGCTAGACTGGTTGGGTCGCATCTTCATTACTTAGTTAGAAGTGTTCAACAGTGATTTTAATTTTAAAAGGATTCAGTGCTGTGACGTACGGTAGGTGAATAGTTATTTCGGGAGGAAAAATTTTAACTTACGGTGCTTTTGTTTAGTGCACAGTTAAACTAGCTAGGGTGCTCAGTGTACATAAGTGATTGGCATGCTATTGTATTGTGGTTTGATTCCAATCACAATTAGAGCTTGTGGCTAACAGTAAACAAATACTTAGTCAAACAAATATTTCACAGTGCGGCAGATTGTGAAGCAAAAATTCACCGTGCAAGCATAATTGACACGCACGTCACGAGAATATTTGCCAACTAACCTGAACTTTTGGTCGGCTAGAAAGCAGTATGCGACGCATTTCGTCAATTTCTTCTTTATTCTCCCAGTTAGCTTCGTGTACCTCTCTGTCAAACCCTTTCTCCCTAAGTTTTTCTCTAACTTTACGCATATCCGCCCAGGTTCGCTGCTTTTGCTTCTGCACAACGGCGTTGCTCAATAATTCTGGTGGGTATTTTGTGTTTGCTTTATGCTCCACACTTTTGGTTTCCTCTGATGTTGGCGCAACATCTGTTTTTTTCACAGACGGACTTCGCTTTAAATTTCCTTGAATGAAATCCGATGTTGTTTTCAGTTGGATTCCGGCCAGTCGTTGTGTTCGACGGACAGCAGTAGCCGTGAGTAACTCGTGGCTTGGTGAACGAATTACCGATTTTTCTTCATTTGCAATAACTGAAGAATTTCTACCGGTTGAACTTCGTAATAATTTAGCTTGTTTTACGGCACTTTCCAGTGAATCTGACTCCACGTTATCCAGCTCCAGTTCGGTTCGACCAGCATTCACATCTTCAACACTTCGAGACTGCTTTCGATTGAAGCCGGATTTACTTTCTTCCGACTGGGTAACACTTAGCAGAAGTGATGCCGAGTGGCTTGAAGCTATTTGAGCTTTTGTGTCTTTCAAATGGGAAATTGTGGTGCTTTCAGTTGTTAAGGTCCTAGCTTTCGGTCTGACTGGATGAAAAGCAGATCGAGGAGTAACTGTGGTTTGTTTAGTAGTTGGTTGGGGCACACTTTTAACGCTACCTTCAGACGGCTGCACTTTAAGCCTACCCCTAAAATCGATTAGTCTTGGGGGTGGAACCTTTTCAGCATGTGTTCCACTGTGTGACTTTCGGCTCACGGGTCTAATTGATCGTTTAGGTTTAGTGGTCGTCTTTTTCACAACAGACAGTTTGTCTGCTTCATGTTTTTGAGGCCTATTCACTCGATTATCCGTTTCGTCCGTTTTGGCCAACTCGCGCTTACAGTTCTGGCAGTCAAAACAGTATTTTGGCTGGAGTGGTGGAGCAACTGGTTGCGGTGGTGTCCAATTGGATGGTGGAACTGGTTGTATCCTTATTGGTTCGGGCTGCCAAAACCCATTAACCTCTTGTGTTCTAGTATGCTGCTGGTCTGAATCATTTGCCACCGTAGCTGGAGGGGTTACTTCTGATGCAATTGAAAGATTTTGTGTCGAGTAGTTTTGGTCGTATTGATCATGCAGTATAACTGGTGATGGAACTCGCTGAGGTGGTGGTGGCGGTGGTGGTGGCGGTGGTGGTGGTGGGATTTGTGGGGGTGGTGCAAATACTATATTTTGATAACCTCGTCCCGAATGATTTTGTGAAGGATATGCTGGTGGTGGTGGAGGAGGTGGTGGTGGTGGTCGTGGTTGTGGCCGTGGTGGTGGCGGTGGTTTTTGTTGAGGGGACGAGCCTCCTGTCGGTGCAGTTCGGCTAATTCGTATTGAAGTCGGTGGCGGTGGAGGAGTCACTGGGTGAACATAATGCTGTTCGGGAAATCTGTTTGCTTCGTCCGTCCGCTGCCCTTGGTGCAGGTAGTCCCAACGCGTTTCGTGAAATTCTGGATGATACGGACCAAGCGAACCTGGGCTGGGAGGTCTTTGTGCGTTTGTGTAAGATTCGACAAAAGACGGATGATAAGGTGCGAAGATATTCGTCTGACAATCTTTAGGGTAACTGCTTTCATTTGATCCAGAATAATGATGTTTCGGAGGGTCAAGATAGAAATCACCTAAGAACTACAAATTTCACACATGCACCAGCATAAAATTGCGCAATTAGTGGAATCAGTCAAATTCATCAATCAGTTTCGGATATCGCATGGTAAATGCACAACACCATACGTCACACAGAGAGAACAAACCGTGGCAACGGGAGAGCATGCAAGGGAGAGAAAAATGTAACAGTTGAGGAATTAAAAGATCGAAAATTGCAAATGCGAGTAAAGAAAAGAAGCATAACCTTCGTGCAAGCAGGCTGGGCCAAAAATTTGAAAATGTATTTGAAAATGTACGTAGACAGTAGCATACTGCAGTGTTTTCCAATTAACAGGCAATACTAATATTTGTTTTCCNTTTCCAGTAACCTTTCCATAATACTGAGGGAGCTGACATATATAGATATATATATATATATATATATATGTATATATAACACGTCTGAGTTCAAACTGTGCCAAACAAATCGATTTAGAATAATCTTTATGGGCCGAATACTGCCAGGTTGCCCAGGCCAATGCAGCTTAAGTTGTTATTATCCTCTTTGCTATATACCATTTCACTTCGATTGGCTGTGCTATGTTTGTGTTCACTGTCTCATTGGAATTTAATGCTTCGTTTCTACCATGTTCTCTCGACGTTCGTACCCCAGGGAATTATTACTAAGCCTGAAGGATATTTATTATTATTCTGTCATTCAACTCACACGGTTCTACCTGAACTGCATTTTCTGCTTGGACCAAGAAACGCAAGCGTGCTGGGTGCCAACCTGCTCTTGCATACATTCCTCCTGTGAAGATGACGGTTCCAACATTCGCTCACTGTTTAGCAAACCGGCTGACCTCACGGATCTACTAACTTATCTCTTGCACACAAACGTTTGTGTGACATGCATACAGGAATCGTGACTCAACCAAAACATAGACGATTCGCTGGTCAACATACCTGGTTTTGCAAGTTTTCGACAAGACAGAGAAGAAGCAAACAGAAGTCCCGGGGTGGGTTATTAACCTGCAATAACTCCATTTGGTGCGGCAAGTCTGAAACGTTGTTTGCTTTCTCCTCTTATGGTAGTGACTTCTTAACAGTTTCATATCGACCTAGGTTTTCCCTTACTAGAGCACGATTATTACCAATCTATACATTGTCCATTCTTGCTCACAAATTGAAATTAGCTCTTTCTACATTCATTCTTTTCATTGGTCCTCTGGTTGATGAAACTTTAATTTTTATTGTTGGTAATTTTAATCACGGATCAACCCAACCTTTACTTCCTTTCTGTCAATCAGATCCCTCTCGAATACCAGAAGAGAGGCTGCATTGGACAAGGTTATTACTAATCACTCTAATATCTTCTCTCTCAGACTGACTAGTGATCACTATCTCTTACATCTTAGACCAAAAGTTTACTCGGTTGGCATACCCCACTTTTATTCTAACAAAACAAACCAACAAAATATTCGGAATCTTTCTTCCGACAGACTCCTTCTCTTGAGGAAATCTCTTGCCATCATATCATTGTGGTTTTCCGTCCGACAATCTCCCTGCTCTGTTGAACATATTATAGAAACAGCTAACGTGATTTTCAATTTATGCTGTACTGTGGAAATATTTTTTGTTCACACTGGCAGTGGCGCTCGTGCATATCAATTTATCTGCATCATTAGTCCACTGAACTTCTCAGTTTTCTCTTCGATCCTACTCTCAACCTTCTTGTTTTCCTCCTATTGTTAACCTAAATAGACAGCCAAAAGACAGCAACCAAAAGCTTCGTACGGAAATGAATCCTTAATGGTTGTTTAAACTGAACTGAACTGTGTGTGCGGTTAAAAGCTCTTAGAAGAAAAAAGGAACTAGCGTTTAAGATGCATCAAACAGCCACCATCAAACAGCTGACACTGGAAATCGGGGCAGATATCAAAAGAATGAATGCTTCATTCGCAAAGCAAGTTCTGGGAGCTGGAGATGGAAAACGGTTATGGCAATGGATCAGACTGCTGTACGGACAGAAGAAACGGACAACAAACAAAATTATTGACGTAGACAACCTTGATGCTGCATTCATTTATCCTTCGAATGATCTCCTGTCTCCGTACCGCACAGATTACTTATCTACCATAGACCCGGTCACCCATGAGAAGGTCTATTATCTTCTTAAAACTACGAAAATCACGAACGCAGTTGGCCCCAATGGTCTATCTTCGTCATTACCCAAATATGGCGCTGGCTCAGTCGCAGAGATGTTTGCGTTCCTTAATAAACGAATGAATCCCTCTTGTTTGCATACAAGCCAAATATATGCACTTTGGATGCTATCTCTTCAATGATGCACTTGGTTTGCAAATTTTTAAATGATTCTCAAAAGTCGGTTCGTTGTGTTTTCCTCGATCATTCTTCCGCTTTCGATTCCGTTCCACGATCTGTTCTTCTGCGAAAGTTAAAGTCATTCGATTGCCCCACCAACTTATTTCCACGGCTGAAAGATTACTTCACAGGAAGAATTCAAAGAACGAAAGAAAACGGCACTGTTTCAAAACCGTCAGTGAATAATTCTGGAGCCCTTCAAGGTGCTGTACTCTCTCTCTACTTATTTTCAACTTTCATCAATGACACCCTCAATCCCACCAGCCAAGACCTTTAAGTATGCCAATGATGTATTCTTATGTCAAGCCAGCTCAAACCAATCTGACAGAATCATTTTCCGACAGTGTATTACAAGTGCAATCATTCTCGAACCAATACGTCTAAATGCTTTAAATGCATTTTTTGTCTTTCCTGATCCAAATACCCCTTGGAACTCTCAGTCATCAATTCTGTACCCATCACCAGAACACATGCCACCAAATACCTAGGAGTCACCATAGATAGCAATCAATCTAAGGTGTTCCTCTGATGCGCTAACCGGTGTTGCTAGACGGCATCTTTTTAAATATGCAAGCTACGATAATTTCGAGTGAAGCATGAAACAGTATGTTCCTTTGTTTATCGATGTATTTTTCCCATCATACTTATTCTTCGCTTGCTATTTTCCCTGGACTACTTAAAAGGGAATTCATTACCCTTCGTCGCGGTTTAGTAATCATCAGCCGTGTTTATTTATTTATTTATTCTTTTAAGCAATCTGATTACAAAATTGTGTAATTTGAATATCACTTCATTTGAGAATATCGCTCATAAGATAATCAATGACCCCAGTCATTCACTCAATCTCAATTTATCTGCTTTCCGTTCCGACGCTACAACCCGATCCAATTTTCGCTGCTTGCTCCCTCACATAAACACTCATCGCAACTCAACGGTTCCCTATCTGGCTCGTATTCTCCCTGAGAAGGTGAAGATCAGCAATGAACCAATTTTAAACCTACAAAGATGAACATCTGTTTCAGTTTTATCATTGTTGTATATGAATTTTCATTTCATTTTTTCATCCCATTGTAACGGTGAACACAGTTTTGACTGAAATGTAGGCAGAGTTACCTGCATAAGTCATCGATAATACAATACAATAATGCATCACTTACTGACTGTAAACATGAAATCTCCATTTTAAGTTCAGCGGTGGTGGATTTCAAAAGACATCTACGACCCAAATACCTGAATCATTGCGGTTTTGTTGATTCATAAATCGATTAATGAATGAACATACGTCAGGAAATGCTGGCAGGTTACGTTAAACTCAATAAATCTCTCAAGCTGTGAGTTTCATCAAAAACAAGCACAGTTTTCAAACTGGGATAGTTTTCTTCTGCTTGTTAAGTGACTTCACTGGAGACAAATGTAATGTATAATGATGGCCTCAAGAAAAATATGACAACTAATTTCAGTTTTCCATAGCAAATAGTATCCTTACTGATCTCTTACCATATCCGGTGTCAGATCCGGTCGAACAAGGATGAGAAACAGAGACCACCAGTAGGCTAGCATGCCTGCCGTTCGGTTGACCATTCGACGTTCTGATCGTGCATCAAGCAGAGCCAGACAAGCTTCACGGCTACAGCTTTTGGCGCTTGAAACACGGTGCCACGGTTTGATGGGACCGGAAAAATGAGCAACACGTATGGTCCCACCAAACTGTACCCAGGCGGCAGTGCTGGTGTAGAAGTCAAAACCAAACTCGTCGTGGATTTGGCAAATACAGTTGTATATATAGGCCAAACGATGCGAGATGCCTTTCGTCAACCAGTCAGTAAAATACGTGTTCAATAAACCCTGTAACAAAAGAAAATGTGAAAATTATTCACAATGAATCGTTCATAACCGATCATGTAACACAAATCCATCGACTGTTATCCGATTTCTCTCTGCGGAACGCTCAAACCAAGAAAAATTGAAACACAGATGATCTCGACACGATAACCTTTTGATTTCCAAAACGCTCCAGGTTTACAATATGCAAGTACAGTTCCAAAAAGGTTTTTTGTGTGTAGATTTCATAGTTTACAAACATCAACGCCCTGATATGAACTGAGCTGAACTCGATTTCACTAGCGCGGCGCTAGGCAGTGTAGTGCCGGAAAACGTTCTTACCGTTTTTACATAAAACAATCTAACGAAAATGCACTCCACGGATTCAGCGGACGCATGTTGCACCCCATATGGTTGGTCTGTCTCATCTTGTGACGGGGCAGACTGCACGACAACTTAAATGCTTAATTGCAGGTTACAACAGTTAAGATGAAATGAAGATTTTATCCCAGTGAAAAGACTCAAGTATTTTATACATGACCGAATGGCGTAACATAAAAATTTGAAAAAGAAAGACAACTATACTCTCAGGAAAATCACAATTCTACCCTAAGTCGAATGAGAAAATTCTACGGGTTATAGGATAAAATATTACCTCAGTAGAATAGTCTATGCTCTTTTGTCAACTCTCTGTCTTTACATATTCGCTCACATTTTCTCTGATGTCCAAGATTGTGAAAACAGGATCGACAGACAGCGCCCACAATGCGAGTTTTCTAAATTCTCACATAAAGGTTTATTCACAAGGAGCAAAAGTCCCTGGAATTAGGTTACAATAAGTTTTATCTGATTGGTACTTCGATGTTTTAAACACTCTCAAAGCAGGAAAGTGCAGTAAATGTACTTAATGCGTTCATAGTAACACTTAGAGAGAAGAATCAGTTTCCCTTAGTATCGTGTGCGGTTGCTAGTTTTATGAACCAGAATTAAATTAGATTAGGTTTATTGTGTTCAGTTCCCTTCACATTCTGGGTTATAGTGAAAAAAATTCCATGGTATAAACACCGGGTAGGGTTAATGTCTATGACAATAAAGATAGACATGCAAAGATCGGCTGGATTGTTAATCGCATAATCTCACTTGATCGCGACCGTCAAAACTGCCAGTGCATGATGCTACACGTAGTAAACCGTTGAATGTGTCCATACACGGTTCTAGTACAAAAACACCAGCGTTAAAGCAGTCCGGCCAGTTGGGATCAGGTACGGCGCTCAGCTCTTCTCGTTCGAATAATTCATCGATATTATGAAGGACCTGGAACATGAAAGACATAAATAAGATGCACTTTTGGTCTTTCTGGAACAACGAATGTATTAAAACGTTAGAAATCATGTTCTTTTAACTCTGTGAATTTTACAGCTTGAAACTGATTTCTTGATTAAAATTTTTCATTGATTGAAAGTTTGTATATTTGTGACAGCAAAATCCTAAAAGGTAAAAAATCAATAAATAATAAGCGCTGAATCGAAAGTCTGTTGGAATACGCAATACGTTAGAACCCGAATTATTCGTCCTGGGATCCGTATCCCAGTGCATTTAGCTAAATTTTTCTGCTAACAATGCAGTGGCATTTAAACCAGTTATGCTATAATTTCTACATTTATCTTACCCTCATTTCTTTTGTGATTATTAATGATTGAGTGCTTGGCTTGGTGGCAACCAATATCTAATTATCATTTACCGAACCTGATCGAACAATGTGTATAACTCAACTCGTTTATTGTTGACAATGATGGCCGAGCAGATCTGCGATCTATTACGTTTAAGGTTGCATCAATAAATCATATTATTTCTGACCGAGAACAGTTAATCCAACAGAAAAGTCTCGTCAAACAAATTGGCTATCTTTCATGTTAGCACAAGTCATGCCATCTGTCATCATCCCGTGCTACTCGTGTTAACCTAGTGATGGGTGCTTGCTTATCGATCAGCCGTATAGAGAAAAAAGTAAATACTGTTGGGTAGTTTTGTGGCAATGTTTCTGTGTTTTACTTTCCCAGTCATATTTCCCCTTTTTATTGAGAGGGACAAAGGGTTCGTGGGTACGGCCATAACATGACTTTTCAGTGCCGATCTGTGGATGTAAATCTCCGTTAATTACATTTTTTTATGTTTTCTGAAGAATATTTTGGAATAGAATGATTTCTTCGAAAAACCGAAAAAGTATGCACTGATGACGAGTCCCAAACAGGACGAAACAGCTGTCCCGTGCTTTTGTCGGTTATCACAAGCATTTCCATTGCACGAAAAAATATTTTTTTCTAGAAGACAACTGCGACCGAGTATAACAATTACATTTAAAGGGAGCGAGATCTTTATGATTAATAATGGTGCCAATGCAAAAAGATATTGCTCAGTTAGATGAACACAAACAGTTTATTTGCATTTCTCTCAAATGTTCTGGAGGCTTACTGGGCACAAGACGAACCCTCAAAAAACAGAGTATGCCACAATTTTAGAAAAACAGACCGGATCCGAGTGATTTGTACTTATTCAAAACAGATAATAAAATTCGGATGGATAAGTTCGACGTCGAAGCTTTCAAGTCGTTTTATATACACATACAGCACTCCCCTTAAAACCAGCTTCCACTGTTCTCTGAGAAACATCAAGTTTTGTTTTGTCAACCAGTTTCATTCACTGTATTTTATGGACATTCATAGTGCGTTTGGCAGTCCATCTAGTTCTTCGCATTCAATTTGAGCACATGATATTTTGCACACAATTACCACCTTCGTAAGCAGCATTGTTTTTGCACTCCGGCAGTCCGTTCAATACATACTATTGATGGCACAATATTAAAACTCGATTCTCGTAGCTCGGGTGAACTGAATTCCATTTCGCCTGTTCGCCGAGCTTGCCAGTTTGTCTGCAAACGTTTCGTCACCAGCCGAGATGACATCATCAGTGCTTGTGATGACGTCACCTCGGCTGGTGGTGATACGTTTGCAAACAAATTGCCAAGCTCGGCAAACAGGTCAAATAGAACATAATATTGAACATTAAGGTGAACATGACGAACTGTATTAGCTGTAAAACCTTTTGCCTTCCAGCAGTTCTCACATCACACCACCACTGGAAGGATGATAAAGCTATTCCTATTGAGGATCTTCAAGTCAATTGTGCACAAATCAGAGTTATTGCAGCTCTCGCTTTAACAAGCAAATTCTTCGAAAGTTGACTATTTCCTAGTTCTAAATCATGTATACCCTAACCTTTTACTTTAAGTTACAACAACTTAGAATAATGAATTTGTAAATGCGCAAATCAAATATTTTTCACGTGTGTAGCTTATCTGGTACACCTTGAGAGATTAACTTATTTGAAGGAATTAAGTGCTAAAGTTTGTCCTTTTAGACATTTATCATCAAGCGCCTTACACATTTGCGCTAAAATATTTTAACTACTTTACTTTTTAGTGCAACGTCTAATTCAAATAAAATTGAATTATAGAATACTGTTTGTTTAGTAGCTATAAGTCTTTCGAATTCATCAAGGTAACACTAAAATGTCCAGTTATTTATTGNTACCGTGGTTGGGGTACTTACAAAGTTTGGCTTCCTTGATGACACTTGCCCGTTTTGGTGCGATCTTATGTGACTGGAAGTCGATCGTAATCGCCAAAAGTTTATGTTTTGCTCTTGTGTTTTGAACAACCGACAAACAACTAAATGTGCGTTCAGATTACACCGAAAAGCGAGCTGCTTCAAATATCCTTCTTTCTGGAGTTTGGTTCAGGTCTACCCTATATAGGCACATGTCGTCGATCGTATGAAAGAAAAAGCTAAATTCTTCACAACTGTTTGGGATGCAGAGAAAAATTATGGTGCTTTCTGTGAATCACATTTTTATCCGGTTTGCTGGAGGGAAGAATTTTAGTAGTCTTAACAAATAATAAGTGCGTTTTCTGGATAGAGAAGCAGATCAAATGTGTTAATCCGGTGACGCGAATCGGGTACATCGGTTGACACCATTTCACACTCATGTAGTCAGAAGATGTTCCTTGAAAACCAAAAGGTAGTTCTTTGAATTCAAGAAGATATTGGGCTAGTATTCTGCTTTTCAACGATGAAAGCAATATTAATTTACACTAGTTAATCCAAATGAACTCTTACCTGTTAGAAAAAATACTGTAAATAGGATCACTGGTTGCTTCATAAAATGATTTACCCTTTCAACATGTTTGCGTAGGAATAAAATATAATTTCATGAAATACAGAACGTAATTCATTTCCTTTTCTGGTTTGTTCAAGTGAACTTACCAAATTCAAAAACCTTCCCAAAATTAAAGACAAACGAAGAAAAACCGCTTCTTTTTCTGTGATAAAGTTTACCATTCCCTCCTCTTACATTACTCGTGTATTAGGACATCAGTAGCTGTGTGTAGCTATGCTACTATATCCGTCCTGTCTTCCTACACTTTCGGACGCGACAACCGTTTAATTGCAGATCAATTAGCCTCCAGAAGGTATACCATAGATTATATCGAGTTTTAGAGATCAGCTAACCTTAAAAAGAATGCGTGTTTGGGAAGCAGATAAACCAAATAAACTTTCAAAAAGACTCGATCATCCGAGACATAGATAATGAGTTGATTACACTACATGTATATAGCAGTAGAATGGCGGATAATGCACTGTTCATTAGGAAACAATGAGCTACATGACTTATGTGAATGTTTCTAACAATCCACGATTTATTTTGTAACGTGCGAAACATGAACCGATCCAAAGACCCTACTTTCGACTCTAAAACAACAAAGAAATCATATTGATCTTTGGTACCATAAGTCGTTGAGTATTACGCTCACTTTCCTCGAAAAAATGGCCGAGTTTAGTCAGCAGATGAGTTTGCAATACGGCATTCTCCGCAAATTTTCTCTTGATGAGAGATACTGGTTTTTCACCATCAATTTATTTTGCAAAAATTCACATCATCTTTGCCTAAGCTGTTATTAGACTGATCATGGACTCGCATTCATTAATACACCATTGGGAATATATAGAATGAAATTTGTACGATGAATTTGGTATCTAAAATTAGTCAAACAACGATAACAAGTGGCTCTATGTTTGCAGATCGTTTTATAGGAAGCAAGTGACATGCATTTTCCCGTCCCCTCCCATATATTAGTAGTCTGTAAACCTAAAAGCACCTTGGTACTTGAAACTTTTTGTTCGTGAAACAGATTAACTTTGGACAGTTATTCTGTGTTTTTTCAGCACGGAGCGGCACAAGTCGACTCGGTATTCCGATTCGATGATTGTCTATCCGACAGCGGGTGCATATCGGCTGTGGTAAATCTGTGACTAGTTGTTGATGCTTTGTTTGTTTCATCATGTTCACTCATTGATCAACCCGCACCATTGGCTGTGAAACGTTTGATGGTCAGATGAACAATGCACACACACGTTTAGCCAAATTCTGTCGAGAGGCGTGGCCGCAGCGGCATCGGTTTTCGTTCGGACGCGTGTACGCATGCACGCAAAACGCGTCGTTCGCGATCAGTGTGATCAAAATGCAAAGCGTACGCCCGTCAAAGAATCCGACGCGTATTGTTATACGATTACGTTCAAGGTGTGATTACGTGTAAGTGGTCTTCTCGTGTTAAAAACACACGCACACATGTGCACATGTTTGCAGTTCAGCATAATGGCTGGAAACATGTATACACAAAGACACACACGACCACACAGATTTGAGGAATATATCACTAGTATAATTATTGGTATTCGCCCATGTAACATTAGTAGTAAACAAAAGATTGTAAACCGAATGACTAACGAAATTTGCCGATGTACACACAAAGATGGTAATCCTCATTGATAGATTCTTGGAGAACATTGTAATCAAGTGTCTAGGGTAAAACTGTACGTTATCTTGGATTCAAGCACAGTATTATTGTCGAAAAACATCATCTGCATTCTCTATGAAGTGTAAACTTTAACTCCTAGTTTAGTGCGATATCTATTTGCATTTATAAACAGGCATATTTCACATTTAGTTTCAGACAACATAAAATCATTACGCTTTTATTGTCAAGCAATGCAATCATTATCAAGGCGATATGTGATCCGTTGGTTTTTACCACCACTAAGATTAGCATTATGTCAAATTATTCTGTATTTCATCATTGTAAACTAAAATTTTCTACTTCTCATATAAATTTAGTCTAAATCCGCATACCGCTTATCTTCGGTTAAAAAAATCCAAAGCATTAAGTTTAGGAAAAAACTTGAGGAAAATTCAAATGGCTGTAGAACTTTTGGTTCTCAATCTCTGAACCCTGTCCCAGTGAAAAGTAGTAATCTTCGGAGGCCGTTCAATTTGTTTTAATTGATACTTGATCACGACAATCTTTACTTAAGTATCATTGTCTGTTCTAGATTTTGTAAACAAAATAATAGAGCTTTCAACTACTTTTAGTCTTTGTGAATAGAGCAACAAAATGTGGACACTTCTGTTTTCTTTCAAAACGTATCGGAAAAATAAAACCCTGGTACTTGATCAAGGAACCTGACTGAACCACTGCTATGATACCTTCGAAATAAGGAGTTCAGTACGAGCATTTAACATTTTTGGGAAACTTAAGTAAACTTCCTATTGGATTTCCTCGAGTACAGAGCAAACAAAGCGTGAACTCAAAAGCTAGCCGGGTTAGATCCCCAGTTGTGTAGACAGATCCGCATTTCTGATGAGATACAGACAGGTTGAAATAGTTGTACAGTACTTCCTAGAACCTTAGTTCACTCTTCATTTGCCCTATACACAACAAATTCCACTACAAAATTGAATCAACCCCTCCACTATTCTCATGGGAGTGAATTTTGTCAAAAATAGTTCGGCGTACCCGTCCCCGCATAATAGTATACATGAATGTTGTTTACTTGAACTGGTTGGCTCCTCGAGTCTTGTAAGCGGATGTTACCTTGTATCATCTGTTTCTAAAACTGCCATACTGAAGATTTATATGTGTGTTATTTTTATCCTTAAACCACTTAAGCTGAGTATCGTTGTTAGTTATTGTTTGAAATGCATTTAAAATATTTTCATGATTAAGTAAACCTGTGACAAAAAAATCTACTTTATCAGTTGATGTTTATAAAAGATATATTGGTGAAAATGGCACTTGCTCCTAGATCAGCTCTGAGAATACGTTTAATGAAAAAATATTACTTTGCCAAATAATCTCAATTTGTTTAGAAAATACCTTGCAAGAATAAAATCACATCACGAAGACTTAAACAGATAATATGTCAAACAAAGTGATAACTAGATCAGATATAAATCTATATTCAACATATAGAGTACTTGGAACTGCATAATGGGTAATTACATCCCAATCATCCTTCTTTTTCCGCCTCCAGTTCTATCTGCAATCATTTATACATCTATGCATATTGTGCCAGTTTAACACGATTATAAAACACTGACAACAACACTGACTTTTGAGTTTTCATTACGTTAAGCTTCACAGCGGTGAGCCAAACCGACAACAGGTCACTCAACTTAGTCATTTATGCAGCAACATAGTTCGTTGGAGTTTTGTAACACTTCAATGGACAACGCGCTTTATTGTTATGTTTAAAAACCGCTATAGATTTTCACTAATGTTTCCTGAATATCTTTAAATATTTTGTTTGACGACCATAAAACTCTGTCTCTTAGATATTCTCCTGTCAAATTTCTTATTGGTGTAAAGACAACGAAGAGTGCCGTTCAATTCAATTTAAACCATGCCCGTTTGCATCAAGCAGTACAGAACGATAGGAAAGCTTAAAGTAGAGTAGAAGATAAAATGGGAAACTTCAGTGGACTAGGATTGCAAATAAATTGAGAAGATGCAGGAACGTTATTGCTTGAGACACGCAGCAGTATCACTTAGTGTCTCTATTCACGGATTACGATCATCCTGAGAGCCTAACGGGACCTATATGACCAAGTTTACAGGTTAGGGTTTGTATACCATAGTGCCATGTCTCATTTTAACCAACCTTGGCTTTGTTTCACCTACTACCGGCCTCGGAAACCATCGCTTGCCTTGGCAACTTATTTGGTGAAATGCGTAACACATGTCCCAACCAACGTAATACATGGAGATCGACCACTTGCTTCAGTGGGAAACCGCGGTTACCTATAACTCTACGCCTGCTCGTCCGGCTGCTTCATCAGATTCGTGCAATACTGCGTAGACAGCGCTGTTCAAGCAACAACTGTCTATTTTTATCCTGTTTTTTCAATGGCCAAGTTTCTTAGCAGTATAGAAGCACTGGCCAAACTTCCGCGGCATATACTCGATTCTTCCCAGACAGCCGGACGTCGCAACAGCGCCACAGATGTCTCAAGTTGGCAAATGTCAACCGAGCCCTCTGTATGCAAGTAGACACTTCATCCGTGGTGCGTCCACCGGGTGAGATGTAGCTGCTCAAATAAAAAACTTATCCACTTGCACTATTACTTCCCCATTTAGAGTTAGTCTGGGTGTTCGGCCAGCCCGGGCTTTTAGTAACATTTTACACTTTGAAGATAACCAACAGTCAAGTAGAAGAACAGGGTGACTGGTTTTCAGTTAAAATTTGAAAACGAAATCGTGCCTAACTATTGTGTCCTAGTGAAAACTTCAACTAACTATGACTCCAAGCTTACTAAAGAAACCCTGTATTTGAATAACATTATTCTCTCTTGTCTTTGAGTCACACAGGAAAAGCATAAGAGAACTTTTGGATTTCATCTGCAGAATTCTAAATGCCCCGGGGTATTTTTGTGCACTCAAAGGGTGAACTTCTAACAGTTCAGAATTGGTAAGGCCAAATTTCACGTTGTTGTGAAGATGCGCTTCCCTTTCTGCTTCAAAAGTTCCAGGGTTCATCAATTTTGTTTTAAATGGAGAAATTTTGCAACTCATTCATCCTATGTCCTATAAGTTGTGGCTCAACCAAAAGAAAGATGACACAATGATTCAATTGGACAAGTCTGTTTGCTTTAACCAGGACGGGTAACGTTGCAAACAAAATCTACGAGAAAGCTTCATCATCTACATAAACTCCAAGTGACGTGGCAAGTCCGAAAACTTCTTCAACTATTCTCAAGATGGCTACAATTACCCGATAGTTATCTGCAATTCCAAATTTTATCATGTTTATTTCACTACCATACAATTATAAGACAGCGATGATTTTCCTTTAGTCACAATGTCATTTCTGGTGAATTGCATGCACAAACCTTTTGATAATTTTAAGCGGCCTCTTACATCTTTTATTCTACCTCAATTTGTATTTTATTCTGGCACCCATTATCAAGTCTTCCATTTTGAAATGTACTACTACCAATCACTTGCATGTGCGTTGTTTGAAATATTTCTCTCTAGAGTAATAATTATCACAAATTGAGTTTTGTTATACCTCAAATTTACTCACACTCAGGTTGTACGTTTACTCTACCAAAACTGTTGATGTTTCAAGGATGTAAATTATTCTTGAGAATTTTGCTCTACTAGTAAGTTACAACTGTCTTTTTCTGTCAAAGCCCTCTTCTCTTCAGTGTGACATCTTCATTGTTTGCCTCAAATTATTTTTTGATATTTTGTCCTGTTATTTTTTTGTTCCTACAGTACCGTAGTATATTACCTATTTTCTTAAATGTATTTATCGTCGGTAGAAACTTGCTAAAGCTAAACTCGGAAATGTAAAATATTGAATCTGAATTTCTTCCTGATTACAAATATACTTGGTATGAAGGCAGGTTGTTTTGCTGACAAGAAAATAGTTCTAACTTTTTTCACTAAAACAAAACATCTGGATGATGCATTCATTCGTTTCTCATCTGAAACTCTCCAGTTAAATCCCACCCGGAGTTTTCCCAACAACATTTGTTGGTTGAAATGTTGTTATTCTACTTAATCATCATCTACAACTTATTTGTATGAATTTAGACGTAAAAATGTTCAACTTTAATTACAGCGATACTTCGTCGTTCTTGCGCAATTGTTTGATCTTTCACTCATGCTATGAAGCACTCCTAAGAGTTGGAGCTCGGTAAGGATTACTTTCATTCCTGAGGCCCCAAACCAATCATGTAAACTAAAAGTTGTGAATCGGTTGGTTCTAGAACGTTCTCGACTGTATTTCAAGAGCCACAATAACACTTAACTTAACACTTAACTAGATTCCGCGCGATGAAACTGTTACTAATTGAATGCCGCCTGTTCTGTATTTATCTCCTTCTCAATTATCAGGATAATGCATCCAAATGTTTCCATTTAGCTTTTCGTGTTCGGTCTACAGTTTCTGATTTTATGCACCATTTGTTCCTCTGTAACAATATGCATTATCATGGACTGGTTGAAAGATTACATTTCTAAACGCTAGAAAGTTACTAAATGAAGAAAATATACAGTCACTTCTGTCACTAGACCATTCTAGCATATTACTGGGTACCGTTCAATACCTTATTTTTTACAGTTCACATTATAGACATAGCGATTACCACCTGAGTACGTTACTTGAGCGTGCTAGCGACACTTCTATTTCTATCGTTCGTTTCAATCAATCCAAATCCGAAAATTGCAACACCAGCGTTTTATATAAAACGTGAATATATTCACGTTTTATACATATATATATGCATATATATATATACATATATGCATACGTAAAACGAAAAAATCCGGTATATAATAAAAATGACTCCATTATGTGAAGGAAACATTCTCAAAGACTTGTTCAGATAATAAAAAGAACTCTTTCAAAGATAGATGAAAATGATTACCATGAATAAGGAACAAAATATTTCAAAGCGAATTACAGCTCACCAGTGTATCTGCATCCAAAAAGACAATTTTTTCAAACTGTACCATTGACCAGCAATGTATCTTTGTGAAAGAAATTGTGAGCTCCTTTCGGGATAACATATTTAGGCTCTCTTTGTCGGTATTGTAAATAGCATTAACTTCGATCACGTTATCGTAATGTTTCAGCAATAAATTTCTGCAAACGGATACATAATTCCGTTTAAAAGCACAAACCTCATGCTGCCAGGTACTTCGGAAGTTACCAGGACGGATAGCTCTTTCTGTGTTTGCACTTGTCGTAATGAAACTGCTAGCACCAATGCTCCGATACAGTACTCTTCGTTGGTGACCAAAGTCATGAAAGTCTCTCTCTTCATTCTGTCTGCGCCGGCACAGTGACTACTATTCATCCTTTTCAATTTTCGCAATCTTCGTTCATCTAGGATTCGCTGCCTCTTTGAAAATCATCACGTACACACCAAATGCGTTCTCATTGAAAGTTCATCTTTCAATAGAGAATTAAAACAAAAGCTGCATTTATTGACACATGTCATTCCAATCAAGATTTTGACCAACGAAAATAGTTTATTTACGACATTTCCCCTTTAAACGCCGATCTTTCTCATCATGAAAGGACCCTAATTTTTTGTATTGCCCACAATTACCAATTGTACTGAAGTCTTGAAGTGAATCCTAGGTTTGAGGCTGGGGCCCAGTTGTCCAGGATACTTGATCGCTTCTTTTATCTGTTCGTGGAAAATGAAACTAGGAAATCACAAATACCAGCAGGGCAATATATATTCTATTAATTCTGGAAACATCATAATTACTCAGTTCCTATAGCAAAAGTTCAAAAAAATGAAGAGGTCTTCAATACCCTCAAGATGCTGGATTGCTCGGTTGATTGGAAGTGAGAGGCCAATTGGAATTCTTTTGTTGTTTAGGTTCTTCCATTTGATTGGTTGGTATTCTCTTTACGGATTGTGCAAAAGAAAAGAAGAAAACTTGGAAGCAGATCTTGTTGGGGCTGATCGGTAACAGTGAACACTAATAGCAAGAATGAATGAGAAAAAAATCCTTTTTTGTATCTTTGTTTTTTTGTTTCTTTTGGGTATGCGAAGTATGAGCAAGAAACTGAGCACAAGGAATCAATAAAGGTGGAGTAGAACAGGAAATACTTGGGAGATAAACTTGTCGTAGGTCGACAGAGTACTATGTTAACACTGGAAACGAACTGGTTTACGGACCTAGCGACTGCGGCGGTTTTACTTTACCAGTATCGATGGTGGTGTTCAGTAGCGGTTGTCTGTGGCTCTGGTTAATGTGGGGTCTTCTGACGGTGGATCTGTAGTTTCCTTAGGCGGAATAGAAGTCACGTTGTCTTGCAAGAACGCAGGATTTAGTCGGACTAAACTAACGGATTCCTTTTTTCCGTTGACTTCTATTATGGCACACTTGTCTTTACGCACGACAATCTTATGTGGACCAGTATATGGTGCCTGCAGAGGTGTGCTGGATGCTATCTACGCGAAGAAAAACGTGCATGCATCGCGTAAGATCCTTCGTTAAGTAAACGGGTACTGTTTGCTGCCGTGTAGTAGCAGCGTGTACCTCACGCATGTGATGCGCGAGTCGTTGTGCAAAATCTGAGTAGTTAAAGCTACGGTGGGGCTTGGGTGAAACGAATCCACCCGGAAGACGTAGCGTGCAGCCGAGGGCTAGTGCGGCCGGTGTACTGCGCAAGTCGGTTTTTATCGTGTTCCGAATACCCCACAGGACAAACGGAAGAGCCTCATGCCATTCTGAACTGGGATGTGTCTTGAGGGCTGCTTTGAATTGTCTATGGAAGCGCTCGACCAGACCGTCAACCGCCGGTTGTGCAAGCGTGTTTGCACCCTAACATAGTGAGGAGTACTTTAAATGACCCTTCGAAATGCGAACCTCTGCCGGTGAAGACGGTCACTGGGCAGCCCTATGTTGCTGCCCAATGCTCCAAAAACACCTTAGCTGTCGTTTCGGATGAGCAATTAGGAAGTGCAACTGCCTCTGACCAACGGGAGAAACGGTCAACGCAAGTCATTAGGTATGTGAAACCTCCTGACGGCGGCAGTGATCGTACTAAATCGACGTGGATGTGCTGGAGACAGGCGGTTGGAGTATCGAAGTTGCCTGACGGCGTCTTGGTGTGACGTAAAATCTTACAACATTGACACTCTAAGCAGGAACGTGCCCAAGTAGTTACATAATAATAATAATAATAAGTGTATATTTCACGAAGCCCCGTGAGGCATGCATAGGCATGATCAAATGTACAACATAATCCTCCGTACAGGACAGGCCCAAAATGGGGGGGGGGAATTGAAGGTCGCAGTGAACATAATTACAAATGGAACACAAAGTGGACAAGGTATCAGAGAATAAGGATCGAGATGGCAGAATGCACCAAAAGAGCAAGTCGGTGGATGTAGGACGAAAAACAAGAATCGTTATACCGGATGAATGATGAGATAATTGGAAATACGACAATCAGTGAGTAAAAGAACAAGAGGCAGCCTGCCGATCGTTGGACTGGAATGGACAGAACTGGGGGTTACTCAGAGTGTGCATGGTGGGAAAGCAGCCCAGTCATTGGAGGATTTGATTATATCTTGCTTTTGGTTTTTTAGTAATACTCCGAATAAATTCACCACTGGATATCGTGCCAATCTAACGGAAGACGCCTTTATTTTCCTTACAGCAGCAGATCTCTGGAAAGGAAGACAGAAACGCAAAACAGTCTAGGTTTTAACCTAGCTGATGAAGGAATGGGAGGG